AGAACTTAAATCTTCATAATGTTTATTTTAAAAAAAATATCATCAATAGTCCAGATGGATAGTTCAGATGGAGTGTTTCAGTAAGTAGAGTCGAGCTCGACAGTTCAATTTTAAATAAGACGTCCACTATTGAAAAAAAGATATATTATCGCGTCCGTTATATTTCATTTCATCAGTAAAGCATTTTGATATGTCATTAAAAGTATATGACCTCGGTTGACTAATATTGAAAAGTTGTCTTACATGCAAATTCTATGTAATTCTTCATCTAAACCGTTCAAAAATATTTACAGAAGACATCCGATGCAAAAACCAATTTAATCTTGACAATTTAAGTATTAATATTACAATAAATTCACATAACCTACACGGGACTGGTTTACTCTATAACCATTTTGATGGTGGCTCGCTTATGAATCCTAGTGAAAGATCTGTGACTAACCGTCGCATCTGTGGCTTGGCAAAGGTCATACGCTATAATCAGGATCAATTACGAATGAGAGAAATGTGCAGAATTAAACAGAAGAAAATGGCATTTCCTCACTCGTTTTAATAGCAAACCAAACCGAGGAGGAAAAAGAGACTATAGGGAATGGGTCCATGGCTACAAATTTGTCAACATTCAATCACAGGACAGGATGCAGAATAAAAAGGAGGAAGAAAAAAAGGTTTTGCAATTTCACTTTTTTCAACTCTAGGGGAAAATTGTGTTTCATTACATTTAATTTCTTTATTTTGACTTTTAAACTAATATTTTGGGAAAAAATTATTTTTATTCTTATCCATCTAAACAATATTTTTTTCTCTCTTTTATCTTATTTTTCAAAGTAAGTAGTATCTGGAAAAAAATCTTGATGTTATATAGGGTTGTATTTTAGATGTCGAACAGTGATTCTTGATGGGGCGTGTCATATAAGATCTTATGATGAATAAAAATATTTAAAAACCTATGATGAGTTAGATCCTCCGAAAATCTATTTTAGACATTTCGTAAGTTTTTTAAATTTGTGTTATAGTAATAAAGAATGCATTTATAAATTGAGTAAACCTTAAATAAATTATTGTATTTTTTTAATAGTTATGAATATTATTTTTCTGTTATTCGAATTGTTTGTAGTCAATATAATGTTAAAAACCTATTGCCTCACTACATACGAGAAAGTGAGTGAGACTAACTAATCAATATAGCTCACAATCTATAAGATGAATTGGTAAAAATTTGTTTGATTAAATTTATTTATAAAAAAGAAAAGATTCTTAATTTAGTCAACAAGAACATTTGATTTAACAATCAGAAATTTAATGTCAGAACACTTAAATTTCATGTGAGTGAAAGACAGGTGTCAGTGGAAGGTATCAGAGCTTCAGATAGTGGAAGACAGGTATACAGCGCTGAGTGGTCGATCGGTTTTAGTGACGATAATATTTAAGGCTAAATTTCAAACTTCATGCCAATTTTATGCATGCACCCTTCATCTTAAATCTTATGAACATTCCATTTTCTCCACCTTCTCTCTACAATATACATCTTCTCTCTAAGATTTCTCATCCTTTTCTTCTTTAGATCATCATTCAAGCAACGCATTTGTATTTATGGTGCCAAGAGCTACACTTTGCACCGATCAAGTTGTGGTTTAAGCTAGTGAGTACTTCTCTTCTTAGACCGTTCGTTTTTCTGTCACATGCAAACACAAATTATGGTTGCATGAGTTTATTATCTCATTCTGATAGAAATTCTCATCTTGTATTTGGTTTAGTTTTTAAATCGGTGAGCTCTAAGTGTATAAGACTGGTAGTGGTGAACCAAATCCTGCATATGTGAGCGTTCGACTACGTTTAGAGGTAAGGGAAGCTTATATAATTTGAATATTTTCTTTGTTTTGAATGGTTGTATGTTTGTTTGGTCATTTGATTATTATGAAGTATTGGTGTTACTGCATGTTTGTTTGGATATATTGATGATTGAGGAAAAAGGCATAAATTGGGTAGGAATATAGTTTGATAGTGATTCTGCAATAATCTGCATAATTCTGTAAACTGTAACCGAGAGTCATTATTGACCGTTCGGTTTATCCTTGGGTATTCGGTCTGAACTGGATTCTTCTTTTGTGGAGAATTTCAGTTAATGACCGATAGTTTTTCTCTTAGTATACTTGTAAGTAAGCGTTCGGTCTAATTATAGTTTCCTCTTTACGTTTCCTAATCAGTTAGTAATATATTTGATAATATTTAAAGTCTTAGATGTTATTTTATCCTTCATTGAAAATAAGTGTTGTGTAATTGTGTGTGTATGTATATATATATATATATATATTCTTTCATTTTGATTTAAGCTCAGTAGTGCTCGGTCTTGAACCAAGCGATCGGTCTTTATAGTGGTTGGTCTTTAACCAAGCGCTCGGTATTTTTATTATAACCCATTGTGTACTCTATTTGAACTAAGAGTGTTCGGTCCAAGTCAATATTATTCGATCAAATCTTGTAGGGTTTGGTTTAAGTTCTCAGGTTCCATCAATAGTTATTTTAATTTTTGGTTAAGTCTAAATTATATGTATTCTTTAGTATTTTGTACATTCTTAGGAGTTCTGTCTAGTAAAATATTGTTCTGTAGTAATTGTTGAGTAACCAGTAAAACGTCCAAATATTATTACGAGTGTTCGGCTTATGATGAGTCTTATATAGAGTGTGGACCGTTCGGTCCTGTTCTATGTATAAGTGGAAGACCGCTCGGTCTTACACTAAGTTTTCAATTGTGTTAGTTTAGATAGTATTCAAAACATTCGGTCTTGTCTCTGAGGTAGATATTATTGTTCAGTTTTAGTTTCAGATGGGATCTGTTTGTGTTGGTTCGGTTTGATTGTATTATGGAATATAAATGGAATGGTATGGAAATGAAAGAGTATTCCAGGGAGGAATATCTCATGAGTGGTTATTGAATGGTAGAGTATGAATGTGGTTATGATTAGCTAGCGGTTATTCTGATATTATGTGATTACTCATTCTCAAGTAGAGAGGAGTAAGTCATATGTGAGAATGGCAAAAGGTCCTAGTCCATAAGGTGAACTTGGACGGAACGGACTAACCTCGGGTGGCAGCTGTTGAGGGCATCCCAGCTATTACATCACCCGGGTGCCAAAACATAGTAGCTACACAAAATTCATACAGTCCGGACAGTCAGAGTAAAGTGGTCGGTCATTGCATGCTTTACGTGAAATTTTGATTGGAAGTGCATGATTGGATGTTACATGATTATATATTGAATTATGTTAGGTTTATGTGAAGTATAGGTTTTACCGAATTAATTAAATTACATAAGTTTACCCTATTTTTCTGTCTTGTCTGTATTGTCCGTTCGGTTGTCTTTTCCTGTTGCAATGATCATCTTGTGGATGTGAGCAGAAAGAGAAGAGCTGTTGGAAGAGGCTCTGGAAGAAGTGGATGTGAAAGCGGAACCATAGGACTGTTCGGTCATTAAGTTGGATTTTATTTTGTATAATCGATCGATATGATCGTAGTTTTGGTAACCGTTTGGTCTAGACTGTGTTTTGTAAATCTTAAAGTTTGTAATATTTTTGTAAGGTTGTTCGGCCATGAACGTACCCCATTTGCTTTCAGAACTGAACTGTAATATTGTTAATATGTGAATATTCTATGATATAGTTTATACTATATTTTGTGATGTTACATTTAATATACAGAAAAATAAAAAAAATTGAAAGTAACTTTACCAAAAATCAATTTTCTTTCAATAAATATAACTACTTTTATATTAGTTCAATACCATGGATAAAAGAATGTATGTTACCATTGCGTGATACTTTCCATTAAATCATAGCAGATTAACGATTCACATCATCACGTTAAATCAAATTAGGAATAAGAACTAATTATTCAAATTGAATGCACTATTTAGAGTTTTGCCTTATCTTGAAGAAAAAAAATACTCTTCCGAATAGCATTTAATAATTATACCGGAGGACGACATCTTATGCGTAAAATGTTCACCAGCTCAGCTGGTAAAGATACGTGAGTTCCATAATAAACAAATATTTATCTATATTATTATATATGGATATACATACATCTTTTAATTGAAACTTTTTACAAATTAATAAAAAAAATGTATTTATTTCTTTAATAAAATAAATAGTTAAACAATTTTTTCTATTTCAAAATAATTAGAGATTTTATTAAAAATAATCACCACATAATTTTGAATAGAATTCATACAAAATTGTATATATTTTAAACTGTATTATTTTAATATTTTTAATATTATTCTTATAAAACTACATTTTTTTGGAAATCATATAATTTTAATATAGTAAAAATGAGTTTTCGCTATGTAAGAATAATAGTGGGGATAATATAGATTTTGCCTGAGAAAGTTCAAATTAGTTATTCGTTAGAGGTTTTGGACCACCAACGGCAATAGGCCCAATGTTCGTAGTACAGGGCTCGGTTGCTATCAATACCCCAAGCTTACCCATAGTCAATACATATTTTTGACGTTTCCCTCAATCTTTTGATATAATACCCCAAGTTTTGTATCCTACAACTTTTTAAGATACAAAAGGAAAACTTTCATGTCCGATTTTCTTTCTAAAGGATAACATTTCCATGAAACTGTTTATCCAAAATGATTTAGCCTTAATTTTCACCAAATATTTAAGTTCCGTAAGTTAAAATGTAACTTTAATAAATATTTTAATAAAAATAAAACACTTGCCTGATTTTCAGAAAACCTAAATAAATATTATTAATCCTTTTACTAACCAAACAAAAGTTAACCATAGCAAAGAAGCAGAATTTCCTGAATTCATGACTTTCTAATATGAATTCTTTCTATCTGATATGAAACTGCCCGTCTTCCCCAGTGGCACGTACGGATGAAGTTAAATGATAATAGGAAAATATATCTGTTTAAGGTTTAAAAGGGTTTCTAACTTATGTTATATTATAGTTAAAATAATTCTTTTTTGCTCAAGGAACCTACGTTGTACAATTTGATTCAATAAATATGCACCTGATACGAGATTCATGATGACAAATTATTATACATTAGCAAATACTGAAATGTTCAGAAAGGTAGCATACCGCTGCTTCAACCAAGACAGTTTCACGCCATATATTAATAATATCCATACTATAAACAAATGAACACAAACTTCGTCAGCCTTTCTACACGCATAGAGCTTTGCCTCAGTGCCTTGATCTGTTTCTTATCCTGAAATGTCATCTTCTAAGTCAGTTTTTCATGATTTAGAAGATCTAGCATAAATTTCAGGGGACAGACAAATGAAAAACAAAACACTACCTAGGAGATCGAGAATAAGGAGACCGAGAACGTGAGCGGGAACGGGTGCGAGAAGGGGACCGAGATCGGGAGCTAGAATAATATCTTCTGGAACTTCTGCTTCTACTAGGACTTCTACTGCGCCTGTACCTTCTGCAAGTGTTCATATCATCTCAGTATTAGTAAACCAATAGGAAAACGCAATACAACTCCATTTACCGAAAAGAAAAATTCTACTGATGGGTACTCATTCCAATAATTACTAATCTTCAAAGTCCAATATATTCACATATTACCTAAAAGCTACAAACAAATTACAGATCCCTTGAGTATACAAGGTCCTAAGATGTATCACAGAACGGACGCAATTCCCGTGCACAAGTAAAGGCAAAAGGCAGTTCTGATTGAAAGAAAGACATTCTGATGAGCAGTATAGATTAGTCAGCAACATTGGGCAGGAAAAATTGTTCTTAAATGTCAAGACACGACATCAACTTTGCACAAATATAATATTAGTACAGATTAGAACTGGCGACAACACTTGCTATAACAGGATTTGAAATACCTAAAAGATAGCTTGACAGCTGAAAACGACAAGAATTACATCTACTTGAAAACGACATCCTTGACTTCAAACCAAAAAAAGTTGCCTAGTTGGTCTAAATATAAAGGAGAGGTGAAAACTGATGTTAGTCATGCAATTAGACCAAATTCTTGCAGTCTGACCATTCCATTAAATACAATGGTAAGCTATTTTATGAGTCCATTAACAGCACAAAAGCATCAAACATGTGCAAAGTGAGTTTAAAATACCTTGGAGGGGAACGGCTGAAACTCCTGCTTCGGCTGCGGCTGTGCCGTCTAGACCGACTCAATCGGCTTGTTTCTGCAAGTTTCTCCTGCCTCTGCCGTTCTTGTTCTCTTTTCTTGGCCAGTTCAGCAGCAGTATCTTTCTTAACTGCACAGGCAAACAATTTTTAACATTAGAAATTGATACAAAATTCACCTAAAAACTGCTATACTTGCTCCTTAACGCAAGTATGGTACAATTAACATGAATTTGCGAAGATGGATTTTTTTAAGCTGATTTCATGTTCTTTTGAAATGATTAGCAATCAAGTAAAAGCAAAGAATGGCGAGATAAGTGAATTTTTCAATCTTTCATGATATTAGGATTTGAAATGATTCATGATCAAATGTCCATGTTATCCCATATTATCCCTGTATTCATGGATCCAACTAGCACTCACCCAAACGCAACTTATACATGCCTCTAGCAACAGCATCCAAGGAAACACGTGATGTAAAAGTAACCATATTTATCAAATTAACTTTTTTATATATAAACATAAAATCTTTATAAGAACAAACTTTTTATTAATTAAGTCATACTTTATAAATTAGGATACTTTTCAGCACTGCTTAAATACCATTCATTCATATAGGTTGTTGTTCATGCATGTAGATTATTATTTTATTTCGAGATGGGATGAGGTTAAAATCACTCTATTTTTGTTTTCATTTATTTCATAGTGACTCAATCATACGTTTCATAAATAGAGGTAGAAAATTAAAATAATAAACATAATAATAATAGTAATAATAATAATAAACATAATAATTATTATTATAATAATAATAATAAAAATAATAAATATAAACATAATAATAATAATAACACAATTTTTTTTCATGTTAAAAAATAATTTTTATTTTTTTTTCTTCTTATATAATTTTTACAACTATATATAATATTAACAATTATCATTTTATATTATTTTTATTATTAAGGGTATTTTGATAATCTTCAATTTCTACCAATTAAACCATTTTTTTTATCTATCACATCCGTGAAATTTTATACTAATTTTCACAAACTTTACATCGAAATCTACTCACTCTCCTTCAAATCTCTTTAAAAAAACCAATTAATTCACTTTCAAATCTCCTAAAATCCATCAATTTCCTCTCTCTCAAATTCATCCTTTAGGTCCTGTTCTTTTGAGTGGATTTGAGGGAGTGGATTTGAGAGGATTTGAAGATAAATTTTTTTGTCGTTTATTTGAGTGAATTTGGAAGTAAAAGAGAATGAATTTGGAAATAAATTTTTTTAATTTGTCACGTCAATACAATTCTATACTAATTCTCACAAATTTTATTTACAAATTCACTCTCATTTACCTCCAAATTCACTCAAATAAACGACAAAAAAAATTATCTTCAAATCCTCTCAAATCCACTCAAAAGAACAGAGCCTTAAAGTGAACAAAGCCTAAAAGAATTAGTAGAATGCATATAGAAGACTTCTCTGATCTGTAAATAAAATAAATTGTGCAAGCGGACATACTTTGTTTGTTTAGTTGTCTGTTCATGATTCTTTTAAGTCTTTCTTGAGGAGTTTCTTTCTTCTCCCCTTGTTGTTTTAAGGGCCCACCAGACCCACCAGCCTTTAATTTTGCTAATGCTGAAGAAGCACTGTGGATGGGGAAAAGAGAGCAACAATTAAAACAATAAATAAATATTCAGAATATTTACATTTTAACAAAAGTGAAATATCCCTTTCTAAAACCAGATAAAATAAGCTGAAAGAAATTAATAATAAAAATAAATATATCTATTGTGTTTTTGACCAGCTGACAGTGTAACTGACTGCAGACCAAACTTTATACAAAATTTCATGCTCGGTAAAGAAGATGGTATTGCAAAAACAATCCACAATATAAATGTCCATTTGAATGTACACTATTGGGTGATGGCATACCTTACTGATGGCTTCGCAACTTTAGTGCCCTTATCCTTATCAATTGATACACCAGAAGCAGGATCAACATGCAATGCCTCGAGTATGCAACCAGATGAAGGCCTGCAAAAACAGTAGAGGTATCAGATAAAGTACTTGCAAGATTTCCATGCAGTTCACAGGTGAGTTAGTTATGCAAAATTCATTTCAGGGAACAATGAGATTCAAATAGGAAGCCTCCTCCCTTCTCCTCTTGGAAGTTACCCCAACAAACCTAGTCCTGATCTATTCTAAACCACAAAAAATTGCCTCAGACAACAATATGGGAGATATGCTGCGCAGAGAAAAGACTGTCCAATCTATCTTGGCAAGAATTAAAGGTCCAGTGCTCCGACCGGTTTAACATATCAACTTGAGATGTAGGAGATCTTGGTGGAGAAAATCCTTCAAGCCTGGGTTCATCTGCTGCTCCAGAGCTCCCAAATTCAGTTATGTATTCTATTTTAGGTGTCCTTGGTTTGCTTCGGTGAATATCATCAGAATGACTACTCCGTGAATAACGCCTTGAATGAGATGGAGAGTAGGACCGTGATCTGGACCTTGACCAGCACAAAGAAATTGACAAAAACACTCAATATAAGTTCCTTCCCAATAAGTACGAGTAATAGGGAAAATGGATATATGTGCAGCCATCATTCAGATAGAAATGGAGAAACGTGGCATACCTTCTAGATCGAGAATAGGCTTCATATGTTGGACTCTGCCTTGATTCCCTGCATGTATATATTCAGTTCAACATTATGACTAGCATGGAAGAATAATCAGCAATCCCATTTGTTAGTAGGAGCACAATTTCATATATTCTTCGCTCAATCTGAAGGACGGAAATATCAGTTTTTCTACCGGTAGGGGTCATGATGCAGCACACGAGTTCCTGATATCCGTGTGGCTTCTCTCTCTCTCTCCCTTTCAATCTGAGAAGCCTTCCTTCTCTCTTTACGACTTAGCTTCCTCTACAAAATTTATAATATATCACCGTAAAACATCCACAAGGTCATCTAGAAATATGAAGAACGAAAACATCTTACTATGAACTTGTGCACTTACAATTGCAGGGTCACCTTTGATCAACTCCTTTTGCCTTTTCTCTTCCTCCTTTGCTTTCTTATCCATGTAGACAAGCCAACCATACCTTTTAACCCCATATTCTTTAGCAATTATTTCCATTCCTTCATCATTGCTATCATCACTATTAAAATCTTCGTCGTCGTCGTCATCTTCATCTTCCTCATTATCATTATCATTATCATCATCATCTGAAATATGGGTTTCTTCTTTTCCATTCCCATCATAAGAAAACCCAACCTGTGAGTAAGATCCTTTACTTGCAGAAGGCTGTGGTAAATTAGATCTACAGGTGTACATAAATAAAGTAAGATCATCTGCTATGAAGTATACTAACTCAACATCATATAAGGATACAGTTGTTGTTACTAATTGCTAAGATTCAGTTTTAGAAATGGAATAAAAATTATGCATAAACAATATAACAAAACTAATATTCCAAAACACCATCTAAAAAGATAGAAACAATCAGCATATCCACAGTAAAAAAGCTAGAAATAACTCAAGCAACATATTGTCAGCAGACATTGCTTACATATAATATTAAGGATTAGGAACTTAAAAATTAGTATGTCGCATATATGATGTCAAGTGACTAAAAAATAGTTGAATATGCATGAAAGGAACATCATCCAACCTGTCTGATGTAAACGGGGCAGCAGCCTTGGCTTCCATCTCTTGATTTACATGTTGCAAAGCCTCCTCGTCAGTAACTGTTAACATTAAAACCCTAGTTTGTAAATTCAACCTCAAAAACCTAGAAATCAGACCACCCTGGAAACCTTTTGTATCTTATTCCTTTATCATGAATGAACATCAATGAAATAGATTAAAAGACAAAAAAAAAATCAATAATAGTAACAAAAACATCAAAGGTCGTCATTACAAGAGAATCAAACACATTGTCGAGAAATAAAAAAGTACCGACATCCTCTACGGCGATGCTTTACTAAATCCCGATAACGCTCAAAATTAACAAACTCTTCTAACTCTTCTTCTTCTTCAGACTTTTCTGGAGCACGTCTATGACTAGAATCGCGAATGAAATCAAGGAGAGCACGGCCATCAAATCTGCAAATGCACTCATAGGATTCACATTAAATGAAGCACTACTAATAAAATTCAATGCAATGAAGTAAGCGTGATCAATTAATTAATCAATGAAATAGACATAAGAGAAGAAAAGGCTCGCACCTGTCAATCAATACATCCTGTTTCCCATTCCAAGGTATCCTGACATACAAAAAACTCACCACATCAACCTTATGCAAATTAATTAATCCCAGAACACAACTGAATAGATTAGAAGCTTTGGCAACGGTAACAGGATAAAAATAAAGGTATTGAAAGAGAAGAGTGAAAGAAACGAACAGGCCCTGCTGATCCTGTGTGGCTTGATAGAGAGCATCATCTCGGTAGGTTCGGCAGCGAAAGCCTACGAGCTGAATGGATTGCTGCGGATCGCCTCGCCTCTTGGCGAGGTAGACGGCGCGTCGTTGTGCTCTCTTCCGAGCTGCGTCCATCATGTCGTGGACCTTCTTCTCCGACCTTCTCGCCTCGTGCCACATCCTTCCTCTTCTTTCTCTCCAATGCAGTTTGGAACCCTAATTTTGGTTCCTGCAATACAGACAGCGGTCTTGCACCTCGTCTTCACACAGTTTTCGCGGTTTTGATCCTGGACCCGGACTTAGTCCCCCACTTTTGAATGTAGGAAAGGCCCAATGTATGAAAATACCATAGCTTACTGAACCTGGTTCCCTTTGTTGTCATGACCTTCCCTTTTTTTCTTAATTATTAATTAATAATTAATTACTGTTTTATAACTTTTATAAACTTATGGGATAAATGTTTTTTATGTGTGATCATTTAGATATAGAAATTATTTTTTATTATAGTTTTGAAGGAAGTGTAATGTAAAAATAAACATGGGATGTTAAATTTTATTTAATTTTTTTCTTAAAGCATCACTTTATTTAAGAATACCAATATAATTATAGTGATGATGTTTTTAAGAAAATAGTATATATATTAAACAAAAACAATGTTTAATTTCAATTCAGTGTTTTAGCTTGGTAATAATAATTAATTAACTTTAATTTAAAGTTTAAATTAATATTTTTAAGAAAATATATATACTTTATCTTTAATTTGAATTTGGAGGTTTTTGCCTAATAATAATAATAATAATAATAATAATAATAATAATAATAATAGAATAATATGGAAAATACCCTTGATTTAATAGTAATGGCTATAATTTAAAAATAATTATTTTCATTTAAATCTGAATCTGAAATAATAAAATAATCATGATAAAAAATAAAATTTTGAGAAAATCGTAAAAGAAATACATTTTCTTAACTTGTGTGTAGAGATAATTATATAATGTGAATAAAATAAAATAATACGATAAGCGAGTCTTGTTCTTTAAAATAACTACTCAATTTTATAAGGTAAAAATAAATTAAGGATCAAATTCTATTTTAAATTTAAATAACATGAGTGTAAAACTACTTTTTATAATTTTTCAAAGATATAATTTCTTTTAAAGTGTTCATCTAAATAATATATTTTATTGTAAAATATTTCAATTTTTTTTTTATAAAAGTTAATTTTCTCTAAAAAAAATGTTCATCCAAACACACAGCTGGTATTTTTTTTGAAACGACATAAAGGATCTATTATAAATAAAATAAAATATAAATATTTTGAACATATTTTTACTGTGATAAGAATTTAACTTGCAATGGCACGATTTTAAGAATTATCATCCATAGTTAAATGCAATGTAACAGTCCACGCCCACTAACTCATACCAACCACCCATCCCGAGACCTAACCTAACCGTACACCAGCCGACCATTTCTCACGAGCCCAACTCAGAATTTCTGCGCATCAGAAACAACCCCGACCCGCACGTTCCAGAATCCGCACTACTAGTATTGAAAAAATCTATACATATAACGCTTATAATAATCCATAAAACATCACGTCCAGATAAAATAATAATTGTAAATATAACCCATGAAAGCTTATCCCAAAATATTAGATGAACCAAATAAATTAAATTAAACTGCTCCATTACCTATAGGTTGGAGGATTGGGGGAGGTTATGCCTCCTTAAGTTGACCTCTTTTTGTGGTTAAGTGTGTACACACAGTATAAAAGCACTTTCAAAAGTTCTTATTTTATTTTTAATGTTTAAATATAAATACAATAACAAGTTCTTTATACATATAATAAGAATAATTAATTTCAGAATTTAAATAATTACTATAAAGATTAAAAAGTATATTCATGATTATCAGAGTTTTCATTACTTGATAAAAGTCTTTAAGTAATATTCAACTTTTTTTCTGTTATTTTTATTACTAGACAAACTTTAGAAAAGAAAAAAGAAAGTGTACATTGAGAAACTATATGACTATTGAAAATGACAGATTATTAAAATAACTTATCTACAATCGTAACTAATAGAAATATAGTAATAATTCAGTTTTTAGAAATAAAAGATAATTAATATGAATAACTCAAAATAAATGATATTTGTTTAAATAACATATATACACAAAATTATCACTTTCTTATGACATGTCATCTATTGGGATATCCGTACACATATGCTAAATTAATCAGCAACAGGAATAATAAGAATGGAGCATGTAGGTCCTAATAATAGATATTATTTCTTTCATGTGGCTTTCATGGTTTACTGACGTTTCTCTTAAACTACCACTTGGTCGGTTTGCACCACTAAATTAAAGTCTTCTAAATAAAATTAGTGTTTTATCTGTGTACCTTATATCATTTTCAATTATTATCACTTCGCAATTTGGTCATTTTTTTATATTTTTTTTATGATGGGAAATATTGCTTATATACCTTCTTGCGTGATTTAATGCTGATATATTATATTATATATATATATATTAAGGTGGTTTGTTTGATGGACCAAACCCCACTCATAGCAGATGGTGGAACAATATATACATATAACAACGACTTTAGATTTTTTATGTGATTTTTCTGATAATTTATTAATGGTATATTTGTCATAATAAAGTATTTTTTAAATTATAATAATTTTTACAAACTAATTAGTTAAAAAAACATGACCTATTCTAGCAATTTTTGAAAGAATATTATTTTAATAAAAAATAAAATAACTTTTACAAATTGAAATTATTTTATATACCAATTAAGTTTGATTTGTTGAATCAATACATTTTGGGATGTTTTTTGTTTTTTTTCAAAGAATTTAAACAGGGCACTTATAAAAGATTCGGTCTGTAAAATAAATTTTTTCATTTACAAATTTTACTCTATTTCTCGCTCTAGAGATTTAATAATACAAACTTTTATATGTTATTTTGTATCTTTTTGCAAAAACAATATTTAGTTAATATTTAATATAATAAGCACAAAAGTATGAAATATATATAAATATAAAGATACAAATTTTCTACCTGAGAGAAAGTATGAATTTGTACTTTTTTGTAATATAATTTAATATTTGATATACAAATCAAAAGGTGTCAAGAAAGTTTATTTTGTTATTATAATGATGACTAAGAAATAAACATACACCAAATAACATATAAAATTCAAAACTTAATCTATAAATACATGTTTTAGTTAGCTTTTCAGATGTTAATGAATTATTTGGTTAATTTATGGTTAAGTTACATATAATTTTAACGTAAATTTTTATACAAAATTAAAATTTATGTATACTTTTAAACTTTAGAAATCTAAACTTACGTCACTGTTTTAAAATGGTCTAGACCCATTAAAAATATTTACTTTAATTGAAACAATTTTATTACTAGTAGTAATAAATTTATTTGTGAGTGAAAAATATAATTAATAAGTTAAATAAGAAATTTTGGTAGCTTAAATGGTAGAAAATTGTGGTGATTTCAAGAATATGAGTTCAAACTCTTTTCTACTTTTTTGTTTAAAAAAAACATTAAAATATGATATTGATGGCCTTCCACATTTGACGCCTTATTGGGGATCAAATATGCCAAAGTGGTGATTAACATATTAAATAATAAGATAATATTAAAATAATAAATAATATTAAAAAATTGTTAAATAGTAAAATTTTTGGACTATAAATAGCCATGAGGGGAGATTATTCCGCACAAAGAGAGGAATATCAAGTGAGAGCTTGAAAAATAGAGAAGAAAGAGTTAGGAAGAAATATTTAGTTGCAAGAGAGTTAGAAGGTTCTGAGGGTTTTCGGATAAACAAATTATGAGCAAGAGATCAAGTATAGAATAGAGGTAGGGGAGCTAACCTTTCTAAACTTTTATATTATGATTTAGTATTGTTTATTACTATTCATGTTCCCCCCCCCCCCCCCCCCCTTAAAATTTTGTGTGAATACTGTTAATGAAAAACATATGTGTTATTGTATATCTAAATCTAATATGGAATTTCCTGTGTTAATATTATATGTTGTGGTTTGAATCTGTAAATAAGAAATTTGTTAAAACTAGTTGAGGAAACCACTTTGGCTAAGAAAGGACTGTACTTAAGCTATCCTTTATGCGCACCTACTTCCTATAGTCTACCGACAAGTTTTTAACTTAAATCTTGTGAACAGATTATGTACTGTTAAATTATGTGAACATCTTTTTTTATCTTGTTGGAATGAAAATTTCTGATGATTTGTGTTATTGTGGTAGATATGGAATTATGAATATAATTGTGATGGTAGGATAGAGGAATCTTTAAAATTCGGAGTTGGTACATCCCTGATCATAGAGCAACCCTGGTCAAATCCAGTAAGTTGTGACTAGTCATATTACTCGCGTTTATAGGAGTTTTTGATTCGTCAAACATTTGATTCTTCTCCATTGACCATTTATGGTGATATTTTTAGTATTGTTATTTATTATATTGGATTTGATTTATGTGATGATTGGTAATTTATTATATTGTGATTTGAATTTATGCATCTGAACATGTATGAGTACTTGGGTTGGGGGAGATTTCATAATGACTATAATTGAGTTGAGAATGTGAGCATGGGTCATGAGTCTCGTGGAGAGATTCTGTAATGATATGGTATTTGTGTATATGTTGATGTTGAGGGTCATGTTGTTGGAGGTTATCCTGATACTCTAATAAAAATCCGTCTCAAGTAGAGAATGATGATTATATGTGAGAGGGGTAAGAGGTCTTGGTCTATGTGCCGGTTTTGGACATAGTGTTTAGGACTAACCTTGTGACTGGTATGGAGTATTTTTGGAAGTGTATTTGTAAGAAGAAGAGAAGTCATCACAATGCAGTAAACCTCCCGTGACTGTCATCACGTAATCCGAATGAGTGTGTATTGAGTATTGTGTATGATGATATGAGGATTTCTGCATATAAATTATATGTTTTGTTGAGTGTATCAAAGTTAATTATGCATGTTTTATAATGATTTGTTGGATGTTAGCTCACCCTATTGTTTGTGTCTGTGTATGTGGCGATGATCGTATAATTCGTTATACGGGAGCAGATGAAGGAAGATGTTAAATGAAGAGAAAGATAATAACTAAAAGTAGAAGAAATTCGAGTTATATTTATAAATTTGTAGTTCAAATATGAGTTAAAACATTAAATATATATATATATAGATATAATATATATATATATTATATTATATTATACTAATAAGTATCTGCTAATATATATATATAACACTATGGAATTATCGAGTG